AATTTGTATCCATTAAAAAGTAATATTACTGTCGACGGTTATTGATAGTCGTATTAACAAGGAGAATGAAATAAAGGCACCATAATTGTACTTTTGTTTCTCCCTTATTTGTCAAAGATTCATATTTACAGCTATTTCTGAACCATTTCTGGACGGCACAATCATAGGTCTACATATCCCTACATTGCGAAAACAGTTTATATTATTTTATGTCAAAACGACAGCATGGAACAATGTAAGGGCAGTAGCTATTTTTCTCTGCTATCTTTTGACAAGATTTTACATTTAACAAAATAAATATTATCTTGTTTTTTCCTTTAAATGTTTTGATATAATTCTATATCTCGGACAGATACATTTGTATTTGTAATAGTAACAGTTCTACATATCTCTACATTGCAAAATCTCAATTTTTTGTGTCAAAACGACAGCATGGAACAATGTAAGGGCAGTAGCTTTTTTTCTCTGCTATCTTTTGACAAGATTTTACATTTAACAAAGTAAATATTATCTTTTTTTTTCTTTATTATCTTTTTTTTTCTTTAAGTATTTTGATATAATTCTATATCTCGGACAGATACATTTTGTATTAGCAAAAGTAATAGTTCCAGGTATTATCCCCCCCAAACCTTAGTGTTTCGTCCCTAATAAAGGCGGTATACGATATTACCATCGGCATTAACTATTTACATAGCAAGATTGAAGACCCCGAAAGTTTGGAGATCAATCTCGGCGCTTGTACTTTTCCGCCCACCGCTCTCAGCTGTCATGGCGTCCTCTCTCTAAACACTTCTCCTCAAAGGTTAGAAACTTTTTCAAAGGTCAGACAACTCCCATCACTCAGTCCATCTTGGCCTACCTATCAGCGTTTGGCGAAGGAGGCAATTTCTCATACAATTCGATCGCCAAGACTTTAATTGCGTCCACAAAGACAACAAAGAGAGTGGCAGATTGAACCAATAGGTCAAGTGGAGGAGCAGAAGCATTTTTACTAGATTGGCAATTTCGTGTTTAAAGGGAAGCTGGCCTTTAAATTGGCGTGCGCGGATTCGTCTCATTCAGAGGTGTTGTAAAGAGGCTGATTAGCTGGTGTAATACACCCTGTAATAATGGCATGGATCCTATTTGTTTTTCCGGGAATGCGAGGCTCTCATATTGCCTCGTTGACCTCATTTTTCTCGTGAAATTGATGACGTGTAAAAAAAGGAGAGGGAGAATTCCGAATATTTGGGCCACTGTAAATTATCGGCTTAGCACAGTTGTCAATGACGGAGTACTCAGCTCAGCGAACTGTCAATACTTAATACTAACACAGAATTACCCCTCGGATTCCCGGTTAAAATTAGTAGGCAGGGAATATATGGTTTCTAGCGAGGTGCTCTGCTATTCATTGTTGGCAGTTTGATCAATGACAGCCCGTTGGTCGACTAAGGCGTGCGGGCTTAGGTTTGGATTGGTCGAGCAACGCGCCAGAAAATTGGCACAAATGAGGCTTTTAACTGTGCCTGGAGGGCGCGATGTGTGCCGCTCGCAGCTCACTGGTCACATTTCCCTACTACTCCGGCCCGACGTCCAGAATTACACACACCATACCAATTAGCCTGACAGGGAAAAACTGTGAGAAGTCTGTGTGGATGAACCTGCCACCGGCGTAAAAGTGATGAATGAAAGGTATGTATGAATACACGGATACACGCATGTAAGAAAGACAAGAAATAGCAGGAATACAGAGAAAGATAAGAAACAGCAGAGGAAAATCCTCACAAAGAACTATAATTACCTTCCATACTTTTACCCCATTGACATTAAAAACATAAAAAATTAAACGGGTTAAAATGCATGCAATCTGTACTTAATATAGATCTATACATATATGCATGACTAAAAGCACCAAACAGATGCAAGACCGAAAAATGCCTATAGTAAAAATATCATCTACCTGACAAGCAAAAATACATCACAGAAAGAAAAGTGCGTAGAAGAAGCAATTAAGCGCGACGTAGACGTTTATACACAAGTGACGAATAACTGTAAGAAAATCATACATATACATAAACACACACGCAATGTCGTCATATTGTTGTTGTTGTTTTGCTTATCGACACCAACGATGAGACAACAACAACAAGCTTATCATGTCTTAGTCTAGGACAGGATGTTAAGAACGTTTAAGCCACTGGTTGGTACAGAAGTGGTCGCATTCTAAGAGTCTGTAACAACTGCGCCATTCCCAACTAAGCTATTGCTGTAACTACGTAACATGCTACAAAGATGCTTGAAGATGATACAGGACTTGTTTCAGGTACAGTATCCAAACACTAGGTACGAGATTATTGAGAGTAGTGAAAAAAATGCGCTGCACACACACCAGTTCCCCGTGCAGTCCCCCACGTGGCTTGGCGGTCCATCCACCCCCCTCCTCCCGTCTGCCAGCCCGCCGTCCTACCTGCCTGCGCCCCGGGCGGCCCGCTTGTCACCGATGATCGACGCCGTCTCTACCACCACGACTTTCGTCTGATCGAAAGCAGTCGTAGCGTTCAGCTATTCCACCTTCGTTATCATCTCCTTATTTACCGACCTTTTTCCCGACCGATATCAAATTTCTCAGGTGAATTAAATCCGCCGTATACTACAACTTAGGCTGGAGGGATCGATCCTAGGGAGGAGACCAATTTCTGGCTTAGTGCCAGGGCCCACGCGGGGATTGTTCTGTGAACGATGGTTGTAGTTACGCCTCTCTCCGCGCTCATGAAGGAAGCACACCATGAGGTCTGCGGAAAACACTACGGGGAATATCATGAGGAAAAGGTCTTTTAAACGTAGCGAGGGTGATTAGGATGAGATTTGATTAATGTCTTGTTACTTTGAAGTCAATCTATCTATTAGGTAACATCGCATGCTTTTGTCACGAGTCTTTTAGGATCAGACTAGGAAACCGAATTAAAAACATTCCAATATATACAGTAGAAACTAAGGTGCTTATTGAGTAAAATATACGCGAGTCAGTCTACAAGGCGGCTCTCGTACAGCTATGCACTGCGATGATGAACTCAAAAGCATTCAAGGGCAAGAAGAGAAGAAAACAAATGCAGCCTTTCCTACTTTAATCCCCAGCTTTGGACGTTGATGATTTGGAGATGAATGATAAATATGTGTTCCGGATACCAGGACGATGGCTGTTTGCATCGCGTAATTCCGCCATGCTAGAACAAGTGTGGCATTTCTTCATTGCTGGTCTCTTGGTCCATTACACCCCCTTTTCCTCGGCCAGAGACAAGAAAATCCTATTAGGGCTGCAGGATGTGAACACAAGACAGAATACCAAGCAGGAAAGATAGCCACAGTGGCCTTTCCGTACCAGGAAAACAACAGGACATTTTTGCCACTTTCTTCTATTATTTCCAATTTGTGACTCTTGGGTCGACTAGTAAGTGCCCCAGTCATACGATGGCCAGGCAATTGCTTTTTCTGGGGGCAAACGTGAATATGTCGTTATAAATTATCCCCGTTGATGTATTATACCAGGAAAGTACCGACAACTTCAAAATTCCTAGAATTAGTCTCTTCCCGGAATCTATGCCCAAGTTGTGCTTTCTGTCTATGCAGCGCTAAAATTGTTTCACTAATGCACACACAGAAAGAGAGGGAGAGAGACGGAGGGAGAAAGAGAAAGAGAAGAGAGAGAAAGGAAAGAAAGAAAGAGAGAGAGAGAGAGAAACGAGAAAAGAACTAAGCTGAAAATGCAGAGAGTATTGGGAAAACCTGTATAGGTAAAGTAACTCAGATAGAAAGCCATAAGAGGAAAATAATAAAGCAAAAGAATTAAAAAGAAGCGTAAAAACAATCCTAAATTCAATTGCAGTAATGATATTCTTACCTTTACCACACTAATGGGTTAGTTAGTCTCAGCTTCTAAAGAGATCGTGCCCCTGAATTAGAGACGTCGGGATGGTGAAGAAAATGTAACAGCTTGTTTCCCACATGAGCGCTAATGGCTGGCGGCGTACCTCCCCAGCTCAGCCGTGTAGCTTCATCAGAACCCTCTCAGGGGGATGAAAGGTCGCCCATTTAAAGATCAAAGAAATGAAGATCAAATGGGAATGTCCCGTTCAATTCCAAACCTTGGGATTCCCAATACGTCAGGATCATAGATTCCGGCTTAGAGCTAGAAGGGGGCATCTTTTTATTATATATTATAGGATTTATCTTATTCAAATACAATGCGATCACTTAAGGACGATAGCCAATATGGTTTTTAAGTCATAATCTTTTTCCAACTGCGCGCAAGAGGCCCGCGGTACATCGAAATGAATAGGCGATCATGTATAACTATTTTTCGGTAATCATCTGTTTGAGGCGGTAATGAAGATAGAGCGGTGAAACGCGGGCGCGCCAGAAATTGAGGTTATCAACACTAGATTACGAATTAAAACCGTGACGAGGTGTATTTCAACTGTCGTTTCTCCTACAGGCTTTTCAGATTTGATGCCCATCAGGTACAAAGTACGCCGTAAGTCATTCTCTATGTATAGCCTTCTCAGTTCGATCTCCTGCTTTCCCTTTCATCGGCCACTCCATCGATTCTAATCAGTGTTTCAAAGATCGCCAATTTCCCGCAGAATTTGCTCGCCCCAGCCGTTCTCAGTTTAAACATACACGGCGGGACAGATGCTCGCGTCAAGCCTGGGTAGGTGAATAAATGGAAAAGACACGGGCTGCCGGTCGGAGATCGATCGGTAGACGATCCCCCCACGCGCGCTCTTCCGGCGTCCCGCCTCCGCCGCTTCCCTCGATACTCGTCCGCGCACCTTTCCAAAATTCCCCCTGCCCCTAACCGTCCCTTTGAAACATAACCGCAATTACAAACGAAGCGCTGATATACGACAAAGGCCGAAACCGCGATCCTCCCCAAACGGCGTCGCCGTCAGAACCAGACGAGAAGATCCGCTAAGGCAGATTCTACTCATCTGTAGTCTGACAGGGAATGGAGTTACACTTACAGTTTCCGACTTGTCACAGCTGGTGCATAGACGCCTCCTGACGGAATGACAGCTCCCAGCTTCAGGGTCGCCAACTTCTCCACTTCTCCTTCGTGTCTGAGGCCGGCAGCGGGCTCACGTCGGCGTTTTCAAGTGATCCTCGCTGGCAGAAATATCGTCCCGCGCTCTATTCTAGGAAAACAAGGAGCATTTGTTGCTTGTATAACCAATTAGATCGACCAAGATTTCAGCCAATCTCTCTCGCGGGCCAATTGCGGAGGGATCTCTTGAGGAGATTGAAACCTGATGAAAGTTCCCAACTCCTGCCAGCATTCATCTTCTGGAGGCTGATGTTGAGTTTGTTTTCTGACGTGAGTGCATTACATGCCATCGCGCTAATTCTATCAAGTCATGCTGGGATCCGGGCGGCTCTCCCCGTGCGACGTGCCGTGGGGTCTAACGTAGCGACAATCCCAGATCCCTCCCTAGGAGGTCCTGGCGTTTGAAGCTCACGTGCGTCGACGGCGGCTCGTAATGAGAAAGCCTCCTTATTCCAGCGACGCTGACCTTTACATTGAGCGCGAGGAATCCGTGAATAATTGCATTAGATGACAAGAAAGCCGCATTATTGATAATCCAGCGCGTCTATTCCATAAAGGATTTTGGTATTTCTCTCAACATTACGGCAATATCACAAGATAGGCTCGGTGAAGTAACAAATATATCCCCGGCTTTGATTGATGGGCAAGGCTTGAGATATAAGACATTAAAGAATATTTATATATCCGTCCTTATGATCCCAAAATGTTGTCAGGCAAATCCAACTGACGTATATATGACCTTTTACACCGCTTCACTTACAACAATTTATGTGGATATTAGAAAAAAAATCATTTCGTTTCACGTGAGCTATATTCAAACTCTATATAACATCTGCTTAATAATTGATGAACGATGGATAAAATGATAATCTCTGAGTTCTTAATTTTACATCGAGGTAAACAGTGATTATGTTGGCGCCAAGACCAACCACGTTAGACGTTTCCGAGGAAGTATAGAGGGGTGAAGTCGTTTTGGATAAGCTCCTCAAATCCACGAGATAATGAAATTGAAAAGAAAGGTCACAAGAGAAGAGACATGTGAGTATTGCCTGCCGATTGCAGCGTAATTTGATCAGGCTAGGTAATGAAATAATAATACAATGACGGTGAGGAGAGTCATATGATATATTTCTGGTGATCCGTTCACTCGCCCAGCGGTAATGATATGATTATCTTGTCGATGTTTCAAGCGTTAGGAATTATTTATTGATCAGCGCTAGAAATGATATCGTAATTCATCTGATAATGAAACCTGAAATCACAAAAGCATGGGGTTTGATATTTTGGGGTCGACCAGACGTGCATAATCGTTATTATAAAAAAAAAATATAAAAAAAATATGTTACAAGGTGTCTCAAAGGAACTAGGTAGAATATGTGGCTAAATCAAATTATGTTACGAAGAAGATCATACATCTGATGTGTCTAGCCGACAAAAATGCGAAATGTTCAACGGTACAGAGCCTTCGAACATGAAAAAAATGCCAGCAATTTCAAATTCAACGATCTCAAAAAGTGTTGAGTATGTAATACTATACTACTGCTTCAATCGCTATGGATATTGTCATCGTGCAGTTATGACTGATGTCCATATTTCTATACAAGTCCATAGTAAAGTACAGGTATTCGATAACAGTGCACAAGCAATGTACAGACAGTGGGCAAAGACCTCAGCGAGAGAGCTTCAAAAGATCCATAGGCTACCGTAGCCCTATCGTCTACTACCAGACGCACACACGGCCTCAACTCTCACTTCCTGTAAGACACTCTCCAAGTAACAGCAATCAGAAACGACCAAAATGAACGGACAAGACCTATATTGTTGATTATGGCCATATACCAAGTTCTCACTTCTATAATAAATGTATTTTTTGTACAGTGTACGTGTAAAATATGTATATTGTACTTTAAATGATGTCATTTTTTTCTGACCCTTCCCTCTTCCCTCATGGCTTTGAAAAGCGGCCTACAGGCTGATTTTGAGATTCACATGAATAGTTTAAAAAACAAAACTTCTTTCGTAGGGTTAAAATATGTCAGGATTTCTGATAAGAATACATAAGGCTTGTCTATTATCCTAGCACCACATCCAGTATCCAGTCCTTTATCATGTCTAGATTTACTTTGTTTATCTGCAACACAGCATACAGAACAAGTCAATAAAACCTCTCCCAGGGAGCTCGTACAAGTTTTATTAATGGTGATCCATAGACAAGGACGAACATGTCCGGGGGATACATTCTGGCGACTGGGTAGAAAAATAACTTCCATTTACACTTTAAAGGTGAAGAATGTTAGGTTATATTCTGTCGAAATGCAGTCTGTCTACTGGCGATTTTTGTTAATTTTGAGGCGAGTATAGCCACATAACTACTCCATGCGATGATAGTGTATGTTTGTTGTTATCATGTGTAGATTTTATAACAGTCAAATGCAGAATTAGTTTTTATGTGTTGTACATATTGTCATTGTCGTGAAGCTGTATGTTTTGTTTGTATCTACGTTGTATTTTTATGTACTACTATGTAAGGTCAGCACAATTCAGCGACCATAATTTGTTATGTACTGCTGCTATGCTGACCACTGTCTTAAATAAAGAATAAAGTAGATTACAATAAGAAAATAACATAATCTCCCAGTAAACAGTAGACGTCGAACAAAAAAACTACCGCATGCAAAATGAGCACGCTACAACCCGGGTATTAGAAGGATTTGTTTTACTTTACCTCTGAGGAGGAGTTATAAGTTCAAAAGTAAGGATGTGCATGAGATTTTCTCCATTCGAGAGCACTAAGAAGCTCCCCTGCAAGGATGGTAGGATTAGATAAAAGAAAACTGCTACCTGGTAAGCCGTAATAGGACAAACTAGGACCGGGCCTTGGCCTGAGCACTTAGGCATGCTGGTAGAAATGAACGTTATGGTACCCGAGATCGTCGTTGTCAATGGCAGTAGACGATGTCATCTTAGGATACCATGTACCATGTACCGGTGATACCATGGCAAAATTCCAGAGCTGAATTTCTTCCTTCATGTCTTCCCTCCTTCCTGCCTACCTATATTGACATGTACTAGACATTTTATAAAATTCCTCTACAGTCATCTAGTATTCTTACGGAAATCGAAAATTGTACAAGAAAAATTGATGAAAACACTATAGACAGGTCACTTACAAGTTTCACGAGTACTTTGGAGCTGTGGAAAGTCTTCTGAAATCACCACCATCATTTCAGCACCAAGGACAGACTGCTTCGTATGTTGTTATCATCTGTCAATTTTATACTGCTGAATGATGAAGTCTCCGAATCTCAACCAACCTAAAGTCATTTAGGCAAATCCCTTTTTGCAGACTCTGTGGAAATGGGGTATCTACAGCATGTAAAACCGAAACCTTTTCTCATTCCTATTTCAGTCAAATTGCTGTAATCTGGAACATGTTACCATTATCCATATACGTCAACACATGTATTCAAATCTCAGCTTACCATCTGTTAAAAAAATTGTTAATTTCTTACTACAAATCTCGCTTAAGTTAAACGATATTTTTTTAACCGACAACTTATGTACCTGGACCACTACCTGTCCATGCCATAACTGTTTAGCGATTTGATTACTCATTTGTTTGTTAGGTGCTTATAGGTTTGCTATCATAATTTTAAATTGTTGTTTGTTTTTGTTTGTATGTTTCTAGAAGAGTCGGCCTAGAAGAGGAACTCTATGTTTCTGTTGCCGGCTCCTCTCAGAATTTTAATTTCTGTAAAGCTGAATAAGGCCATGTTGATTTGATTATATGGATGACATCCGCGCGCGCATGAATTTTCGGCCGTTTCCAAAAAAAAAAAGTTTTCAACCATACTGTAAATCGTACAAAACAGTTGCAAAATGAGCAAAAATATACCATAAGTTACAAAAAAATTAATAAAAACTATACCAATGTCGTAGAATGCCAAAATCAAACGAAAAAAGACGAAATTGTAAAGAAATGAACTTGAAGACTAGATTATTCGCCAAACCATATTCTGTGCCATTTGCTCGATCCTCATGACCACGTAGATTTCATAATGAAAAGAACTTTTTTTTTTGCAAAAATTTTTTTATTCGCACGCGCGCATCAGTTTTGGGGCTCCCGTAGGATGTCATCCATATAATCAAATCAACATGGCCTAAATAAAATAAAAATTAATAACATAAAAGTCGGGAAATTCAGCGACAGCTGCCTTCAGAATCCGGTCCACATCTCATTGAGCTAATCTGCCCGTTGGCCTTTAAGCTCTTCTCTTGTCAGTTCCACGCTACTGCGTCGTGTTATTAGCTGTTACTATGTTCTGCTGACCAGCTAGTGTCCCGTCAAGTACGAAATAAGATTACATTCACTTCTCTTCACTCTCTGCTTATTGGAAAAAACACACGTTACCGCGAGTAGACAGTTGTCTGGTCGTCCCATGTTGTCTGGCGTTAAAGTTGGCTTCAGCAGGCTGAAGAATTTGTCTTGTTCGTTTCTATTCTTCTGTTTGTAGCTAAAACACTGCAGTCTGTTGGAAAAACAACGAACAGTTTGTTTGGTCACCTAATGTTATCGGACGTAAAAGTTAGCTAAAACAGACTGAAGAATTTGTCAGCCTGCGTTTCTATTCTTCTATTTTAATTTACTGGATGAGATCCGATATTTCAGAATACGTAAAGATTTCGTTTTTGAACGAAAAGCGGAACCTTTTCGCACGCTTTGAGCATTGCTTTAATATTGGATGTTATGTATTGGTTTGTAGCTAGAGAGTACATGCACATATATACTGTATTCTGATTGGAATATTGCTTTTGTTTCCAACAGTCTGTACGAAGTGCAAATTAGAAGGCACAGACTGTGACACCCCGGAGATCCGCCTGCCGCTTGATGGGCTAGGCGCTGGACACCATCCGCGCACGGTTACAAGGACACACACGGTCTCATATGGACGTCATCTCCCTCCTGGCGAGTAGAAACCATCCCTCAGCGGA